AGCCCGGAGTCTGAGGATAGCAATGATTTCACCGCATTGCACGTTTTGTCTTGAGTGCTCAGCCAGGCCCAGAGTGGTTGCCTGTCCATAGGTGGTGGTGCGGCAGTTCTGCCAGGGGAGCCTTACGCATCAAGAAGGAGTGGTAAAAATTGAGCAAGCCCAGGAACGCTTGAAGCTCCCCCTCGGATGTTGGTGTGAGGCTTGCTGAATTGCCTTTAGCTTCAGATGGCAGCATCAGTGCCGTGGCATCAATGCGGAAACCCAGGAATTCTGTGGATTCCACGCCCATCAGGCACTTTTCCCTCTTGAGTTTCAGACACACCTCGTGGACGCGTTGGAGCACTACCCGAACTGTGTGACTGTTGTGCTCTTTTTTTAACATGTTGTATTGTCTACTGTTTGTACCCCCCCCCCTTTTTTTTTTGAATTGTGAGCCGCCCTGAGTCCCCCCAGGGAAAAGGGCGGCATACAAATAAAGGAAACTAAACTACCCGGCGATGTTCCATCGGGACTGGCGCTGATTCTCCTGCAATCAGGATGTCATCAAGGTACAGATGCAGATGCCGGGAATGTTCTTCAATGTTTGTTTCATAATACTTTGGAACAACCCTGGTGCTACCTTACCCCAAACTGCAAGTGGCGCATTCAGAATGCGCCTCTGTCTGTGGTTATTGTTCCTGCTTCTGTGGCCGTGTCATTTACCAGTAGCTGCTGGTAGGACTGGGTGAGGTCCAGCTTAGCGAAGATTTGGCCTCCCTGGAGCGAGTGGCTCCCCACTGGTGCAGGGTGAGCATGCTGCTGTAGTGTCATGTTTATGGTGCGCTGTAGTCTGCGCAGCTGCAAACGTCCCCATTCGATTTAACTGGAGTCGCCATGGGAGTCTCCCAATGGCTTCCGTCCATGGGTTGGAGCACCCCCTGCTGTAATCAGCTTGTCTAGTTCTGCATCAATTTTAGGTTTCAAGGCAAAGATTGATTGTAAGCCGCCCTGAGTCCCCTCAGGGAAAAGGGCGGCCTATAAATAAACTACAAACAAACAAACAAACAAACAAAGGGAACTCTGGCTGGCTTTAATTGGATTGCAGTTACTGCTAGATCAAGGTTTGTATGGTCCCAGCTCAGTGCTGAATATGTCAGCGTATTGTTGGCATACCGCTTCTAGATTGGCTATTTGGGTTCAATGGATGCCCGTTACCCTGATGCCCAGAGCCTCGAAATAGTCCAGTCCTGTGAGGCTGGCGTGTGGCCCTTCTATGACCACTATGCTGAGTGGACCCTCAAACTCTCTGTATTCTTATGGTAGCTTCACCCCTTACAGAAACGTGGTAATTCTAGAAGTCCCTTAGCACTAAGCTCGATGATTTGAGCAGGACCCACCGTTGGCTACATTTGCAAATGTGGTCCAAGGTCATGGAGGAGATAATGGACGGGGCCGATCCAGTACCTAGCTCCATGGAGCATGGGACCCCTTCAAGGTTCAGTTGGAGTCTTATCTTTTCTTTGATGGGACATTGTGCCCCAGTGCGTTGGATGCTACGCCTTCCTGAGCAATGTTCAACTCTGTTCTGTCCTGGGGGCCTTTTCCCTTGACGACTTCTGCAAACTCTGGCAATGTGCCCTTGCTTTCCACAGGCACGGCATATTGCTGTGCGGAATCTGCACTCTGTTCTTTCATGCTGTCCCCTGCAGCTTGCGCAGCTCTGTGGGGTAGTTGGTTGCTCTGTGGAGCGTAGCTGTCTCTGTGGCTTTCTCCTCAAGCAATCAATTTCTTGGCTCCCACTGACCTCCCCCAAGCCTTCTACAGTGTCTTAGTGGAAAGCTGGGGTGGGGGTGGGGGGTGGCACGTGGTTTTGGTGGCCGGAGAGTCTTCATGGCCTCTCCAGTAGCCTCATGTGCCCTGACTTCCTTCAATGCATCTTGGAACGTCAGTTTCTCTCTGGCAAATAGGCACTGCTGTAATTCACTATTATGCAGGCCACAAATGCGCCTGTCTCTGAGACGCTCTTTCAGATCAGGGAACTCGCATGAAGCTTGGCGAAGGCTTGCCAAACACTCTGCTGCAGATTCCCTGGCGCCCGGGGATGACCGAGAGTTTAGGCTCAAAATGTTTGCTTAGTTTTTTCTTGTGGTCTGCATAGGCCACCGTCTCTATTCTTACAATCAGCGCAGTCACATTTTCAGCAATATCAAACGTGTCTTGTCCACAGAAGCATAGCAGAGTTGCTGCCTTCAGGCCGCCATCCATGACCTGGTTAGCACAGAGATAGTTATTATCTACTTGGGAGGTGTATGAGTCCCACTGTTCCGGGTGAGTAATATCAAACTCATTGAGTTCCCAGTTTAGCCGTTTTGAGAAGGACCCCGTGGTGCCGGTCAGTGCCTGTTCTGCTGTGGTTGGAGCTGGGCTGCACTGAGAAGCCCTGGGGACAGATCCCTCAGGTTCATCTGTGCCTCCAGGGTGTCTTACTAGCGGGCAGGGCAGGAAGCATGGTGCCACCAGGGCTCTGTACCCAGTTTGACACCCAGTGATTTCAGTCTCCTGGTTAGCAGCAGCTCTCTCCTCTCCACCGTCCTACCTTTGTTGCCACTATAGTGTAGTGGGCTTCAGTAGGCAAGAAACAGACCAGAATAGATACAACAGCATTTATTGACTTAACTGGGACTTAGGAACTTCAGGCAAATCACGGTAATTTATACTCTGTGCCCACAGGGCCTTAACCAATCATAATACCTGAAAAAGCCTGCCCAAATATGAATGTTTTAAGTTTCCCTCCAAAACAGTTGGAGTTAACAGTTAGGGCTGTGATGGCAAACCTATGGCTCATGTGCCACAGGTGGCACACGGAACCATATGTGCCGGCAAGTGAGCCATCAGCTCTGCTGCCCATCCGCACACCAGTCACCTGATTTTCAGTCTTCTAGAGGCTGGAAAAGCCCCTGGAGCCTGGGGAGGGTGAAAACAGGTCCAACAGGCCAACATGAAGTTTGGGAACGATCTTTTTCCGGCTTCAGAAGAACCTCTGGGGGGCCGGAGGAGACCGTTTTCATCCTTCTCAGGCTTCAGGAAAGCGTCTGGAGCCTGGGAAGGGTCAAAACTACCCCGCAAAGGGGGTATCACATGTGCATGCATGAGGGCAGTCCTGCACGCATACGTGGAGTATACATTGCAACTATTGCAGGAGTTATGGCTGTGAGTAAAAAGAAAGCCACTGGGAAAAAGTCCCAGTGCCCAAATCCTGAGTCTGGCCTGCCATCGCTCATGCAGAATGGGAGTGGGTGTTGTTCCCCTTTAAAATCTGCTGATCCCCTCATGAAATCCTATTAAAAAGTTCTGTTTCCAGAGTACATTGGATAATTGGTAGTTTTCAAAAGAGAGAGAGTTATACAACCAAGATCATTTGGGATTTTGATTGCTGCTAATTTACTAACAGGTGTATTGGGATAGCATGAAGTAAATCAACAACAAATGTGTAACATTTAAATCTCACATATACTCTCAAAAGCAAAATGCTTTCTGTGGAAACATTTCATGTATCTGGGTTAAGATAACAGCAAACGTCTAAATAATAATTGTCTCATTGTAAGAATATAAAAACTAATCATCTATTTCTATGACATTAATATTTTCTTGAACTCCTTTTACTCCCAAAGCTGTTCCCACACAAACTGGATCCATCACTGGTACATCTGGTAAGGTTAATGGGGGAAATTCCATGTTGCTTATGATGCTTTGAATTTGTTGAGTGAACCTCTTTACTTTTAAAATATAAGATATGATAATAGAAAAAATACAAATAGTGACTCAAATATAAACCACACCAAACAAGAGAATATTAAGAATACTTCTCCACACATACACACACTCAAGACATGTATGGATATGTACAGCCTAAAAAAAGGAAGGATTAGGCGTGGATTAGGCGTGGCATGACACCAGAGTCTCCCAGAGAAAATGAGGTCAGCTTGTCCTCTAAAGCTCTCCAACCTTTTGCAACTTTAAGACTTGTGGACTTCAACTCCCAGTAAGTTGGCTCTGAAGCAGTGATGGCGGGCCTTTTAGACACCAAGGGCCCAAACTGCCTGTGCAGGCATGCCCAAACATGGACATACACACATGCATGCGTGGACATGCACAGCAGAGACCCGAAGACCAGCTAGTGGTGGTGAGAGGTGGGGCATCCCAAGACTGGCAGCAGGGCAAGAGCTAAGATCTTTTTTCTTTCATGGGCTTCTGCTTCATCATTTGCACTGAAACGGAAGAAACCGCCGTGGAGGTGAGGACCTGGGGCGATGCCGCGCATGCCAGCAGAGTGGGTTCTGTGTGCCACCTCTGGCACACGTGCCATAAGTTCACTATCACGGCTGTAAAGCATCACAGGGCAGGAGAAGATCGTTAAAGAAAGATCCAAGCTAAAACTAAGGAGAAATTTCCTGACAGTGAGAACAATTAATCAGTGGAACAGAAGTTGCCTCCAGAAATTGTGGGATGCTCCATCACTGGAGTTTACAAGAAGAGATTGGACAACCATTTGTCCAGAGTGGACTCTGGAGCCTCTTCTGTTTGAGCATCTGCTTGGACTATGCCTCCAAAGTCCTTTCCAATCCTGCTATTTAATGTTATTCTTAGACTCGTCTCTCTTCCTAGTCATGTGACCCAGATGAAACTTGAGAAGAGGGAGGGAAGGATTTCAGAAGCTAAATTTTGTGTTTTCCTAGTTTGTTTATAAAATTAAGAACAATAGTTTTCTGTTCTGACCCCCTCCTCCATCCCGTAACGAAAGCCGAGACAAGCTTAATTAGAATGTCCTTTAATCTCTTCCATGGCGTGCATCCTGGAACAACTCACTGCTGGTTTCTGGATCACTCCCCCTTGTCCCCCTCCCCACTGGTCCAAGGCTCAGGCGCCACCTGGTGGCCAACCAGTCTCTCTGCACCCTGCTCGGAGTCGGAACCCTGT